TCCAAGTTACTCTGTGCCTTTCAGAAGCTCAATGAAGGATTAATTGGCATAGCCATCTCCGGACTCACTCAGACTCTGGTGAAGTCATTCCTACTAGACACGTTCATTTGTCAAGTCCTTCAATCATCCAATGAAGTTCTAAAAATAATTCAACTGACACTCAGATGTCTCAGAATTTTTCCAATACTAACATTTTGCATTTGTGTGTGTGTGTGTGTGTGTGTGTGTGTGTGTGTATATGTATGTGTGCGCACGCGCGCACGCTGGGGATTAAACCTAGGACCTTTACATGCTAGCACACACTTCCTCCACCAAGCTAACACCCCCAGCCCTAGATTTAAAAAWAAATAAATAAAATATTGCTGATAAAGTGAAAGATTCCTTTATACTCAATTCTCATTTTAATTTCCCCCTGCTCCCTGGAGCAATTACTGACTTAAAGTTGATGAGCATCTTTTACATTTTGTTATGTGGATCTACAAAAATATTTATTTCTATGTGTTTTGAAAATGTATATAAATGGTATYACATTATACATGAGTCTTTTGTAAACTACTTTTGATTTTTAACATGTTAAGATTTTTGTTCCATAYTGACACATAATCCATTCTATTTATTTTTGACTCTTATGTAATATCACACTATGAGACTGTACCATAATTTGTCTATTCCTGTTTTGATGGACAGTTAGATTGTTTATGATTTTAATTTTAGTATTTGTAACACTAAACACATCCTTGTCCATGTATTTGAAAATTTCTCTAGCTTTGCACTGTGTAGTATGGTAGCCACAAGTTAAAAATGTRATTAGTCCAATTTTCAATGTGCTGCCAATGAAAAATATATACCAGATTTTGAAGACTTAGAATGARGAATATAAAAATCTTATTAAAAATTTTATATTGATTATGTGCTGAAATAACTATTTTTGATATGTTGTGTTAAATAAAACACATAACCATTTTTGTTAACCATTTTAACATAAAAATTAATATCACTTTTTTTTTTTTTTTTTGGTGGTGCTGAGGGTTGGGCCAGGCCTTGTGCTTGCGAGGCAAGCACTCTACCAACTGAGTTATATCTCCAGCCCTCATCTATTTTTTCAATATTTTTAGATATAACKACTAAGATGTTTTAATTACTTAAATTATTTGCATTATATATCTACTGTACTAGGTCATTCTAGACCAGGAGTCAGTAACTCAGGGACCACGGGCCAGCCATCTGTTTTTGTAAATAAAGTTTTATTGGAACGCATACACGTTCATTTAGATAATGTCTGTAGCTGCTTTCCTGCTACAGCAGCAGGTCAAGTAGTCGCAGTCTATATGGTTCATGAGCCTCAAATACTTAGCTTTTGCCTGTTTAAGGGGAAGTCTTGATCCTCATTCTAGAGTAATGATTTTTAAACTTTCTTTAAAAACATGACCCACAAAGATCTATATTTAATGTAATTAATATCAATTATTTACATTTCTTTATAAATGTTAATTATAATTTTTGCATTTATGTATAGATATATTTAAAGCAATTAAATTAATAAATATTTTCAATATCAATATATTTTCTATAGGAAACATTTAATATTATGATCCCACACAGACACAATTGAAACAAAAGTTTCATAAATCCTTGCTTTATTTATTTTTGTATTTTCAAGGACACATATACTTCAGAATGGAGTCACTGAGTAACAGGAATGTGCACATTTAACTTTCAGGATTCATTAAAGTGTTAGCCTCTGTGAGAATGTGTGTGTATGAAAGAGAGAGAGAGCAGTCACATGTACGTGAGCTAATCTGTGGTCCCACAAATGGTACAAGAAAATTCCCATTTTTTGTGTCCTTAACTATACCTGGTATTGCTAGTCTGATCTGTGTGTGAAATGAGATTTGTTTTGTGGATAATTGGTTACTGTAAGGTTGATTATTTTTTCTTGTGTTGACTGGCCTTTCATGTTTCTTCTTTTATGAATTGCCTTTCCCTTTTTAAAATGGCTCATTTTTCTATTTCTTACATTTGTAGGCATTTTTTCTATATTTTGAGTACTGATGCTTTCTTTATCARTCATGTGGATTGCAAAAATGTAGGTTGCCCACTCCGAGCATTATTTTTTTTCACCTTCTTTATAAGGCTTTACATTTTTTCAGACAGGAGTTTTGCATTTTAAAGTAGTGAAATTTTTCCTTTATGGTTCTATTTATAGATCTTATTTGATCTTATTATCTTATTTGATCTTAYTCCTTTATGGTTCTATTTATAGATTTTATTTGAGAGATCCTTTTTTCTACTCAAAGTTTGTAAAGATTGTCTCTCATATTTTTAACTAACAAATTTAAAATATATATATATACTTCCCAATCAAAATTCACACTCGTGAATGGCATAGGATGTGGCACTGCTCTCTTTTTCATTTCTGTCTTAAATAGCTGGTGTGAGATCCAGGAACTGACCTRTCTCTATTCCCAGCAGTGTGGTGGTGCTATTTCTCACACAAGTTCCTACACATGGGGTCTGTTTCTTGGCTCTCCGCCAAAGCATTATCAGTTCTAGATGGATCAGAAAAAAAAAAAAAATCTTTAGTGATGTCACTTACACTATGGGTAAGCCTTGGGCCTCAATGCCTTTATAGAAAGTTTTAATGACCTTTCAGGGATCACATAATCCTTATCTTGTAACAATTACACTAGATAATTTAAAAGTAGAAAAAGTTACTCAATTCATTTTGCAGTTCTGATTTAACCAATGTACCAAAACTGGACAAAGAAACAACAGGAAAGGAAAATTACGGACTAGTCTCTATTTGAATGGAAATGTAAAAATCCTAAAATACTAGTAAAACTAAATCCAGCAATGGAGAGTAAAAGAAGTTTATGCAAAATGTGCAACCATAGTTTTATTTAAGAAAAGTTATTAATAACATCACATGGTTCCCTATTAATATGTACAGTTTTTACATTTTTATGTGTCAGTTAAAGATAACTACTGAGCCACATCCCCAGCCCTTTTTATTCTTTATTTTGGGACAGAGTCTTKTTAAGTTAATTAGGGCCTCACTAAATTGCTGAGGCTGGCTTCGAACTCACAATCCTCCTGCTTCAGCCTCCTGAGTCACTGGGATTGAGAACACAGTTCTAACTGCTTCATATAGTTTTCTTGTGTGCATCTCGATAGTAGTATATTCTAGCTTAGAAGCCAGGGTATGGGAATTTCTCCCTTGGTGACTTTCTGGACCTGAAGATAAGACCCTACAGATGATTTGGAGAGGCAAAATATTTGGTTTCCCCTAGAGCCAGCTTCTAGACTTAGGAATTGTCATTATCAGTTTCATGTCCTGGCTTCATCTGAGAAAGCCACTATTGATGGATTTGATAAGCATAAAAATATTGTAAGAGACTTTCTATGACTGTATGTTGCCAAGGGTTACATGAAAATCATCTACYGCCATAGCATTTCCTAAAGTGTATTTCCAAGATCCCAACAGTGATACTGAAATATAAAGAATATGGTCATATGATATTTGACAGCTTTAAAAGCTTTTTTTAATGTGGTTTTAAGGATTGGGAATTAGAGAAAAGACATGTTTTCTGAAGAGCACTTTTCATGGTAGCAAACAAACTTTCTCCAAATTTTTCTGTTAAGAACAAGGGATTCCAATGACTATGAAAACTAACCTAGAGCCAGCAATATTGAACTCAAAAGAACAATCAATGCATTTTTGCCAGTAAGGTCATACGTATTAAATCAGGCAGTTCTGATATCAAATCAATACTGCATTATGTATTTGCTATGTCAGATATTGAGGTATAGATCTGCTGTAGTAGGAACAGGAACRTCATCAGGAAATATCAGTTCAGACAAATGTATGTTACCACCTATGGGGAAAGAGCTGGATTGATTACAGTCTGTCTCGTTTCTTGGTGAAAATGTCAAATCAGGAGTGAATATTCATGTTCTTGGAAAATGGGGGAGGAGAAATCAATAAGCTAAACATTCTACCTAGTAATGGAACTGTTTTCTCCAAGGAGAATTGTCTTGTGTTTTTTTTCTTCTTCTTCTTAAAATTGGTCTTCCCATCTCTGGAATGCTGGTAATCCTGTTTTAGAGATAGAACAAAAGATTTTACAAAAAGCCAAAGGGCAGATTCCATAGTTCTAGAATAGGGGTTATGGCCAGATCTGGTGGTGCCCACCTGTAATTCTAGTGGCTCGGGAGGCTGAGGCAGGAGGATCACAAGTTTAAAGCCATCCTTAGCAACTTAGCGAGGCCCTAATCAACTCAGCAAGACCCCATCCCAAAATAAAAAATAAAAAGTACTAGGAATATGGCTTAGTGGTTAAATGTCCCTGAGTTCAGTCTCTAGTATAGGGAAGAAAAAAAAAATAGAAATAGGGGTTATGGTAACTCAGTTCTATTTAAGCATTTCATTGGAAATCTGTTTAAAATTTAAGTAATGTTTTCCTTAATTCCAAGGAACAACCTAGACCTTTCAATGCCAGGGTTACAGCGTACCAGGCAAATGAAGAAATCCCATCTTTAGAGACCTAGTTTGCAATTCACATGTCTCAGGTTTCAAAAACTACCCAGTCTCATATTTCTCTGTACCTTTATTTATATGATAAAAATTTTGATTTTTCTTTGTAGAAATGTAACACATGATATAAGAGATGACATAAATGTTTTGGTAGATGGGGTCAGAATGTGAAGCAGTTCCTCCCAAGTCAGGATTTTGGTGCTTGTTTTTATAAACTCTCTCTAATCCCACTCAGGAAATCTTCCATCCATGTTCATAAGATTTCAGACGAATCCCTGTTCTCTCTCCCCCAAATGTATATACATATGTGTGTGTGTGTGTGTGTGTGTGTGTGTGTGTGTGTGTGTGTGTGTGTGTGCAGGCATTGGCCAGGTTTCAAAAGCATAGGAGGTTCATGACCCATCAGCCTAGTCTCTGAGTGGAAACCAAATGGGTTGTTTTTATTGTTTGTTCTTACCTTTTCCAGGCACCTTTTAAAAATGAACAAGAGCAGCTCTGATTTGGAAAAAGTGAGCCAGAGCTCTGCAGAGAGCCTCAGCCCGTCCTTCAGGGGTGTCCCCATCAGCTTCACCACCGGCTCCACAGACAGCCTGGCCTCAGACTCAAGGACCTGCAGTGATGGAGGTAACAGACTGGCCTTTTGGTGAAGAGGTTCAGATTCCCCTGGATCTACCAGGCGGGTCTGAGTTGACTGCTGGGATTTGAAAGGGTTAAGCAAGACCTACTGCTTTGACCTGCTTTCTCCTCCAAGGAGTAGTTAGTTCCTCATTGAATACATGACAGCTGCCTCATCCCTATTGCCCTCTCTTGGCATGGCAACAGGGTGGGAGGGGGTTGGAGTTGGGAGCATGCAGAAAGGYTCCTGATTCCTTGGGTAACCAGCCAGCTGTGTCTGCAGGTGTACTTCCTCCCCTGAGGGCACACCAACCACTGGTCTCATCCTCTGTATTTCTCTCTGTGTGTCATTTGCATGTACGCATGCACAAGCTTACATGGACACAGCAGGTGTTTTACATAAATGTTTGCTGAATTAAAGCATGAAGGCTTCATTAGGTCCAGGCCACTTTTGTGGATTAGACTCTAAAGTATAATAAATGGGTCTTGATGGGCACCTTCCTAAAAAGGAACTGCTGATTCTCTGTGCCTGTGGCCTGGATGGGTATTATTTAAAACGTCTCACCCTTTCAGCCTTCTTTGTGTGTGCCCTCTCCTGTGTTTCTGTTGGACTGCATTAGCATGTTAGTGTTAAACATGTGCTAGTATTACTTTTTTTCTCATTCTTATTTCAGTACTTCTCGGTAGGCAATTCTGGAGTAGAGGGTTCCATTGTAATTCTGTTGTCGGCGACATTTTTCTATTCAAAAGATGAGCACTGGCTAAGATAAAAGCATGTGTTATAAGTCAGACTATGGTGTGTTCTGATGGGAAACCTCTAATAGCTCTCACTTAAAAACAGGAAATATTTTAGTCTTGATTTTGGGGGAAGGTAGCAAAATGCAGATTTTTCCGGGCTCCTATCTTCTTCCTTTTCCCATCCCATTGTGCAAACATTCAGTGAGGCAGATTACTCGCTGAAATGTTGGGCATCTGAACCATGATCCCTGTGATAGTCAGCTCTGATCCACTCGTTGGAGGATAGTGACCAATTCCAAGAGTGCCATCCACAATGGGCCCCTCTGTGGTGGCCATGAGAACTGGAGTTCACTTCCTCACCACTTTGCTTCTCAGTAAGTCACGATGTCTGCTCTCAGGGCTCTTAAGGACTAGCCAGGAAAGATAAGATTAAAACACAGGACACATGGGTGCGTCGGACAACATGGGAAACTGGGTTGCCCACAGCATGAAGGCTTATGCAGGCTTCCAGAGCCCAGAGACCTGCTGAGCACCAAGGGAGGGTGTGGGAAAGGGTTTTTGAGAAGATGGGACTTCAGCTCCTGTCTGCAGTATGTTGGAATTGAGGAGGTGGGGGTCAAGAGGCAGAGGACTTTTCAGGTTACAGAAATAATAGAGGAACCCAAAGCACAGGGTGGCGGTGCAGAGTGGGAAGGGAAAACCAACTAAGGTGCAGAGGTGAACGCAGGCGCAGGAAACATGGGAACATGGGACGTGAGGTTGGACAGAAGCCAGGACTGGATTTGTTCAAGGCTCTCAAAGCTAGTTTGTCGGGGTAGGACATAGAGAGCTGCAGGGGACTTCAAGCAACAATGGGGACACCCAATTAAGAGAGTTTTTCTTGTTAGTTTCTGAATAACATGAACTAAAAGGAATGTATCTTCCTGGTCCTTTCTTTATCACAAGTTATTCAGTGGAAAAGCACTTCAAAATGTAGGTTCCTACATCAACAAGAGATGTGTACCTTGTCCCCAGACGCTGAGCCTTAGGGGCTAACCATTTCTCCCTGCTGCTCTTTCATAGAGCTCTGTACCAGAACCAGGGTTGGAAACTGGCAGGAGACCAAAGGTACTCTTTCTCCATTCACGTTTGCACCATGAACCAAGGCAGCTTGCTTTAGGTCTGTATTAAACAATTATCTGTCAGTCCCTTGAGTTGTTACTTGCTTTTCCCTTGTAGCTGAAATATTTCCCCAAGAATATTTATTCTTGACTTGTATTACCACTTGATATCTGGTAGTGAAGCTGAGACCATGGATCAGAATAAAAGTTCTAGTGAAATGGCTCAAAACTAAAATGTAATGTCTACCTCCCTAATGGTATATATAAAGGGAAAAGATACCCTTAGTACGTACATTTATTTGTCAGTAAGAATTCACTAGTGAGAACTGAATTTTGTTGACTTTTTATATCCACGGTATGGGCTGGACTAGGTGAGCTGAGAGAGTCATCCTGGGGCATATCATCATCGTGGTTTGTAGAAACTTCTTGGAAAATGATCAGGGTTAGTGTTTAAAGCGTGTGATCGGCCACTCAGGTTTTGTGGCTAAAAAAGTAAAATGTATAAGAAAAACAACCAAAATCTTTAACTTTGTTATATTTCTAAATCAGGAGTTTACCCAATTTTTTTATGGTAAAGAAATAGAATTTTTTTTTTAATCAATGTTGATTTTACTTTCTACTTGTATCAGATTTTGTAGTCTTCCCTGCACATCTGTTACTGCATTTGTCCATGGGGCAGTTTGGTTGAACAGGGAGTCAACTCTGTGGAAGGAAAAACCCATCTAAGCAGTTGTTTGTCCGCTTGGTTTGGGAGGACAGTGGGCATGTGAAAGCTGCCCTGAGGGAGGTTATCTGTGGTAGGTGGACGTGAGAGGGAAGATGGACAAAGGAACATCAGAAATGGTCCTCAGAAGACTCTTGTGCTTTTAATTAGTCATTTTTACTTATCTATTCATTTATTTTGGTACTGGGAATTTAACCCAGGGGCGCTTCACCACTGAGCCACATCCCCGGCCCTTTTTATATTTTATTTAGAGACAGGGCCTTGCTAAGTTGCTGAGGCTGTCTTTGAACTTGCAGTCCTCCTGCCTCAGAGATTGTAGGCAGGCACCACCACGCCTGTCCTCAAGTTGTTTCTTTTAAGTACACAAGACTAATGTCACATTAAGATAATTCCCCTCTTTGATTTAGGATGACATTAAAATTTAGTTAACACGTATCTGTGGATACCAGGAGATAAGATTAATTACAGTTGTCTATTTAATTGAAATGATTGGTACTCACGATAGAGAAGAAAGAGGTCTGACTCACAGTGAGCAGGTATAAACCACGAAAAGCCAAGTGCCAGGGCACTCCTGCTGTTCTTATTTTTAGAGAAAGCAAACCAGAGTTAGAGAAAGTTAATTATATATTGTAGCAGTCATCAGCTCGTTTTTCTCAACAATAATGCCAAACAGAATTTTTATACATACATTAATCATCCGATAGATAGGTGTTGAACGCAGACTCTATGCTGGGTATAGTTCAGCCTGCTGAAGATCCAACAGTGGAAAGAACTCTCCCGTCCCTTCTGTCTTGGGGCAAGTAGCTGGTAAGTCAGGTGGCAGTAAATTCCGTGGAGGAGAAATCCAGCCAGGAAGGAGGTAGGCAGGGGGGGACGGGAAGTCCACAAAGATCAGACCTCAGTTAGAATGAGTGACAGCTTGACCTTCACCAAGCACTGGCTCCCCTTCTCTGATTCTCATCTGTGACTTGGTAAGAAGAAATTCTATTTTTAAAAAGAAGATTCTGGAAAAGGCATCTAAAACTCTCTATTTAGACTCAGTGTATTTTCTAACTAGCGAATAGGCTTATTAGAGCCCTTAATATTAAATTCACTGTTTGAGTCTAATATAGTACACTGGTGTTTAGCCTAATACAGAAGGTATACCTTATCCAGGAAGGTAAACTGAATCATGGATTCTCTTCTGGTAAATCTGTTACTGAAGGATAAAGGTTATATTCCAGAGGGAAGTATATATGTCAGATTTCTGGTGTCTGAGCTGCAGTATCAGCAAAGTGACGCTTCATCTTAAACTATTCTCATCTGCAGCTATTATCTTTAAACTGAGTTTTAAAGATTAATATGAATATCAAGTTAATATGAATATGATAAAAGTCAAGTTAATATGAATTGATAAAAATTCAAACAATACAGAAAAATACAAAATGAAATGTGAATCATGGGAACCCTCATCCCACCTCTTTCTACCACTTTGAACATTTTTTATATTTTCCCAGAGTTTTTTTTGGAGGGGCGGAGGCGCATACCGGGGATTGAACCTAGGGGCACTCAACCATTAAACCACATCCTCAGCCCTATTTTGTGTTTTATTTAGAGACAGGGTCTCACTGAGTTGCTGAGTGCCTCGCCATTGCTGAGGCTGGCTTTGAACTCACAGTCCTCCTGTTTCAGCCTCCTGAGCCACTGAGATTACCTCTCCCCACCAGAAGTTTTTAATCTATATTTGGGGATGTCATAAAATTCAGTTCTACTCATTTTTATACTTAATGTACTTTGAAGTCTTTCAGAAAGGAGATCTACCTTATTTTTTAAAATCACTGTATATATTTTTATTGGATGAATTGGTGAGACCCTTCTATTCCAAAGCATGTTTAGATTTTCATTACAAGTCTATAATAAGATCTTGCAATGTCTGTTGGCTGAATTTGGCAAGCACATCTGTAAGACAAATTCTTAAAAGACATTGAACTGATCACAATGGATATGTATTTCAAATTGCTATTACCAAATTAACCTCTAAAACGTCAGTTTGCCTCTCTGTCAACAGTATATGCAAAGTGCTTTGAATGAACTTTTAACTCTTTTGGAAGAAACTGCTTAATGATCAAGTCAAAAAAACAAGACATTGAAAGATCACAATTCAGAACCACAGTTGAACTACAGGCAGGGCCTGAGAGGTACCTAGGGCCTGTTTTCCTGGCTTTCCATCTTTTGCATGTAAATCACACTCTCCTCTTGATTATTGTTTCCTGGGATGATTAAGTGGTCTGGAGAGATTCCTCACAAATGCCACATTTCCATCTAGTTGTAAAATGTTAATAACATGCTTCCAATTTCAGACCACGTTTACCTTCTTGAAAAAGCAAAGCATTCTTTTAAAAGGAATGCTGAGCCTGTTCTGACTATAGACCCAAACAAAAGGTTGCACAATTTTCCTTTGGAGGAAA